ACAGTTGAATTTTGTCTGAAGAAGAAATGCGACGCATTTCGAAAGCTAACACATTATAGCGTTTGCTTATTGTTTTTTAAATCAATTAATAAAGGAAGAGAAAAATAATGAATCCAAATCAATCAACCTTCCTAAAAAAACACGAATTTATTAACCTCTACGGAGAGAGAATATATGCCATCTCAAACAATTTACAAAAACTGTACAAGAAGAAAACCAAATTGGAAGAACACATTAAATTCATTAAAGATTGTCAAAAATGGCAAGTTGTTCCGAAAGGAATGAGATTTAAGAAAACTATGGGTGTATACAGCAACAATCAATTACTGAAACAAGTAGAAATAAAAATACGAAATAACATCTTACAAAACCAAAAGAAATCATTAAGATGGTTGAGAATTGATACCAATACACAAGAATCATTATTGAAACATTACCTGGCAACAACACATCCATCGAGAAACCATGAAAATGATGTGAGATGGATGAACACATATAAAGGAAACTTCAAAGATGAACTAATGAAGAACCATCAAAGAAAACTAAGAGAATTAATAGAAGAAAAAGAAATAATGACCAAAGGAAATAATCCAAAATTAAACAAAAAGAACACTTCGATACCTACAACTATTTCGAACGTAGTCAATATATCAAAGACCCATCTATCCATCGAACATTTGAAAGTTCTGTCCAAAGGACTTAAATTCGTACCAACAGCATGCTCAATAGACATCATCACCAACATAGTAAACACAGAAAATGCATTAGGAAAAAAGAATTCAAGAACAAAGACAGCTGCAATATCAGAAATCACTGAATTCATCTCAAAATGGAAAAAACCAAAACAATCAAATATCAACAAGGAAGAACAAAGACTATTGAACGAAATCAAATCAAATGAAAACCTAGTCATAGTTCAAGCAGATAAAGGTGGAAAAGTGGTGGTAATGGATAAAAAGAATTACATTGATTTGATTGAACAAAAATTAAAAGATGAATGCACGTATGAAATAATACAAAAGGATCCAACTAAGAAAATCATGGAAAAAGTCAAATCAGAAGCAGACAAACTCTTAGGTTTGAACAAAATTAACGTGGCACAACATTTTCAACTAATTAGTATTGAAGATCTACCAACAATAAGGGGACAACCCAAATTACACAAGCCGAACAATCCAATGCGCATTATAACATGCTCAAAAAACACGATAACTTCTCCTGTTTCAAAATATGTATTCCACATCATCAAGGAGTTAAGATCAACAATTTCAGGAGTAGTAACAAACACAACTTCATTTGTAGATAAAATCAATTATATACCATTAGATAGAGACGAAAATCTAGCTAGTCTAGATATACAAGATTTATTTACAAATATTCCAGTAACGCGAGCAATTGATATCGTCATACATCGATTAACAGAATCAAAGAAACTGGAAGACATGAAATTAACAAAGACCGATATCAAGAGGCTACTATTGGTAGCACTAAACAATAGCTATTTTCAATTCAACAACAAATTCTATCGACAAACAAAAGGACTACCAATGGGTAACACGCTGTCGCCACTTATCGCCGACATATATATGGATTACTACATAAAAGAAAACATGAAGGAAATCAACAATGAAAAGAAGATCTTCCGCTACGTGGATGATATACTTATAATAACCAAAATGAAAGAAAATGAATTACAAGAATACGTGACCAAACTGAATAAAATAAGAGGGAACATTAAATTTACTTATGAATTTGAATCAAACAACAAAATATCATTTTTGGACACTACCGTTAAACGCCAAAGCAAAGACAACCACATCAAAGTGAATGTTAGGTGGTTCAGAAAACAAACAGCATCAGATAGATTCCTCAACTATGAATCAGATCACGGAAGATCAATCAAACGCAACTTAGTACAAAATATGACCACTCGTATACTACAAACATCAAAAGAAAAAGAAGACCAAATAGAAGATTTAGAAACACTTAAAAAGATGCTTCAGAATTCAAACTACCCGATCAAAGAAATCGACTACTTAATTCAAAACGCTTGTCAAAAATTCGAACAAAAATCAACGAACACTAAGAAAGACGACGATACAGAATTTACACTTAGTTTACCATATGTTAAAGGAATAGAAGTTCTCAAAAGAAAGTTGGAAAAATGGAAAATAAAGTTGTATTTCTCATATCCAAACAAACTACAATCATCATTTAATCAATCAATGAAAGCACAATCAAAATCTGTAGTTTATCAAATTCAATGTGACTGTGATCCTCCAAGCATTTACAACGGTGAAACCAAAAAAGGATTGGAAACTAGAATCAAACAACATTACTCATTAATCAGCAATGAAGACACAAGGTCTGAAATGGTGCAACATCAAAAAGAAAATAATAATCAATGTTTATTCGACACCAATAATGCATTTATCATAGATCAAGAAAAAACCTGGACAAAACGTCGCTTAAAAGAAGCAATATATTCAAAAATTAACAAATCAATCAACAAACACGATGATATCAACGAAGCATGGAACCCAATTATGCACAAAGCGGAAGATCAAATAAAAAGGAAAATTAAATTATCGATGGAGAACCATCAAAGATATAAGAGATCGAAGGAGCAAGACGGTAATAGTGATACAGGAGAGATTTCAAATCTAACCTAGTCATTATTACCGTCTTGTCTCCTGTATCACTATTATATGTTGACGAAACGAAAGGAAAGAAAAATATTTTCAGTCAAAGTAAAATCAATCATGTACAGTTGAATTTTGTCTGAAGAAGAAATGCGACGCATTTCGAAAGCTAACACATTATAGCGTTTGCTTATTGTTTTTTAAATCAATTAATNAGGTCGATCATTCCGGCGACTGGATCCGTTGAAATCTGAGTCGGATCCGGTACAGGTCTTCTCGATTCCGGCACAGCTTTCGCCGATTCCAGCAGGTTCCTTGCCACCGGATTCCGGCCGAAATTGCACAGGAAATGGTCGGAAAACGAACCTAACTGGCCGGAACCAACCGTGCCATAATAACCTGGGGACTCGTGAAAAATTATTGAAGCTCCCATGGATTACAATTCCACATACAACTTATTCTCCTGACTTGACTCCAACAGATTACCATTTGTTTCGTTCTCTTTCTAATTATATAGGTGAGAAAAAATTCGACGACGAGAACGACCTCAAAACGGATCTAGCCAACTTCTTTGACCAAAAGCCTCAAGACTTTTACGAAGCCGGGATCCTTTCTCTGCCCGAGCGTTGGCGACAAGTCACATATATATATATATATATATATATATATAATATCATATATTACTTCTGCTTCTATTATATAAAACCAACAACTATATATATATATATATATATATAATTTGAAAAGTTTAACTAGAAGCGAAAAGAAGAATCTATATGACGTGATGGAAAATCAGTTGACAGAGTACATATGATTAGATGGAAGAACATATGATGTGCTGCAGCAAAATGGTATCGGCTATGTTCATTTGAATTGTTGATCTTGACTTTTATAACAGACTTGCGAGGACGATATCCAAGAGCTTAGGGACGCACCAATTCCTGTTTTTAGGTGATGGAAATGAGGCATTTCAATCAATTTGTTCAATTTTGTAACGATAATGATATCGTTCATCTCTTTCTGTTCTTTATTCTCTCCCCTCTATATCCTAGTATCCCCCAATCATCTTTCTCTTTCCTCTTCTCTATATAAGCGCGTGTCTTATTGTGAAAAAGGCACATTCCGGTCATGTAGAGTAGTCGATAAACATCTATACCGTGAGAAGCGGTTAGCTACCCAACCAGTTTGTCGTTACAATAGCGAAAGCTATAGAGCTCAAATTTTGTACTAATTTAGTATAGCACTTAGTACCGGCAATAATATCCCAAAGTTTCCTAGAGTTTGCTTCTGTTAAACTCGAGAACGAAAAATTGTGTAAGTGTTTCAGAACTTGTGAAACGCTCCTTGTAACTGCTCAAATTTTGATTTCCTCTGGTTATGCGTCATTTACTACATACTGATTCTCTTTTCCTCGTAAGCCCGTAAATCATTGTTTTCTTTTTTCAATCAACAAGATCCATTTCTGACGTTTATTACAATTTTATTGATTATTATTTTTAATTCTATTTGAATTCAATCATACACACCGTGTGAACTAGTTTAGTATTAGACGTGCAGTTATTTGTGTCACAACTATTCCATAAGCCTATTCAAAAGCATGCCTAAAATAAAAAATTCTACGATGAAAGATATTTGTAAGTTTAAACAAATAGTAATCCTTCAGTAAAGGGTTAAGCTAGTCAGCTTCGATGAGCGTTACCCGTTTTATATAGGTACGTCAAGTCATTTTCCTCTTAGGTTTTTTCCAACATGTCTGTCTTTCTTTCCTTTTATAAAATACACCAGTTCGTTTTTTCTTTATTCTATATAGACACGTCAGGCCATTTTTTCTTTTCTCTTTTTCTCAACATGCTTGCCTTTCATTCTTTTTATAAAATACATCAGTTCGTTTTTACTTTCTACCATGTGAGTAAGTCCGCTGATATTTTCACTCACTGTCGCTGTTTTTTTTAAACTTTTTTGAGTTATCAGACTGATCGAAATGAATCACCTTACGTTGATATAATTTTAGATCATATAAAAGTAAAGGGGAAGGTTTTCGTTTTCCTTATAACGTGATAATAGCAGATACTTCGTTTTGCCGGTCGCCGATCGGTGGAACGTCTTTCGTTCTACCTTCCTAAGCCATTTGATCAGTATTCAAGTGGCATCGTAAGAGAGAACTTACGATCCGAACCTTTTCTTGTTTTCTACTGAAAAACGCCGAAAGTAAACATGTCGCATGGAGGAAACCTCGAAAAATAGTGCTGTCCTCTACGTATTTTTGAGAATACATCCTATTCCGCAATGTTGCACATTTGGGAATCAGTTCCGCACACGGAATCAGTTCCCACGATTCCGGAATTAACCCGAAGCAATTCCGGAATCGATACACACAATTCCGCGGAATTCCTACCAATTCCGGAATCGATACACACAATTCCGCGGAATTCCTACCAATTCCGGAATCGATACACACAATTCCGCGGAATTCCTACCAATTCCGGAATCACACCCACCCCCTACACCCTCACATATCATCTCCCCTATACGCGACCGAATTCCGTTTACGGAATTCCGGAATTCAGTCATCCACGGAATCGCTAGGAATTCCGTGGAATTCCGCGGAATTCCTACCAATTCCGGAATCACACCCACCCCCTACACCCTCACATATTATCTCCCCTATACGCGACCGAATTCCGTTTACGGAATTCCGGAATTCCGGAATCGTGGGAATCGATTCCGTGTGCGGAACTGGTTCCCAAATGTTCAACATTGCGGAATAGGATGACTGCTCGTATTTTTTAGAGTTTTTTGTCATTCAACATTTCTAGTTTCGACATTTTTCAGTAGAATCATATCTCGCTTTTGATAAAACGTACTAGACAATAAAAAATGAAAATATGAAGAAGAGATATCTCTTCTGTGTAGCAAAAATGTTTTTCCTTAATGGCGAAAACTCGTTGTACAGAATTTCGACTCCTTTTTTTAAAAAAATGCGCGGTTAAAATAAATCGTTTCTTGTAAAATATAAAACTTTCCTGGCTGTATCTGGTGGTGATTTTGGTAGGTTGATCAAATGTGTTAAATGATGGAACCGTGCACGAATGACAATAAACCATACTACTACCAGCTGGGTGTGCACAAAAAAGGCTGTTATCGTAATTTTTTCCTTATAAAGCCACATGAATACTAGTTAAATGACATAGAAATAAATATAGTGCGAAAGATGCTCTGCTTCTCGGTAACAAAAGAGTTTTTGCTTATCGAGTTATATGAAAAGGTAAAACCTCCGCCACTAATTTTGGAAAACCACAAATAGTTTGCACTGATTAAAAAAGCGCAGTGTTGGCCTTTTCCTCTCTGTAGAACATTTTACTAATAATAGGAGCAAATGATGTTACGGGGAAAAGAGCGGAATCTGGGGTACTTCTGATTTATACAATCTCCACAACCGCCCGACCCGACTTGCTGAGATATTATGGTGTTATTCCTCCAAACCACCCACATCCTTGATAACTTATGCTCATACAAACGCACACTCACCCATACGATAAAGAACTCCAAGAAAATAAAACGTCCATAAACGGTGCATGAAACATCACCACCCAGAATCTCTCCGAAATTCCTCACAAACATCGTCGTGGGTGCTTACAACCATCCATAGAATAACAAAATCTACATTTTTCCGAGCACAAGTGATGTGTTCCCATTGAGTAACAAGGACCTGAGTGAGCATCAGTTTAATCTGCCGAAGTAGCGAAAAAGTGTCCATATCCGTTTCAGCGATATTTATGTAAACTCATAAACTTGCATGAGCATAAACGTTAGTAGAATCAATGAAAACATGAGTTTGGGTGTGGGTGAAAACATGAGTGGCCGTGTTTATTTAAATTGGAGGCTAAAGGACGTAAGAGTAAGTGTGCGTTTGTATGAGCACAAGTCATCAAACTGTGAGTGGTTGTAAGAATTACAGATACCCAAAATACTTCGTATTGTTCCATTACTTTGATGAAAAGAAACCTGGCTAAATCGTCTCGTTAATTAATCTTTCGGCGTATTAGTCGCTACATTCGAACAGAGATATAAAGGTACAAATTCACTGAAGTGATTCCTGTTCATGAATGTCTTGATATATTCTTATGTAATTATCGCATCTTCAGAATGTTTTAAGTTTAAAAAGCATTTCGATTGGTTTTAACTCATTTTGATTTTTCTCATAATCCGTCATAACTTACGAATTGAGAAACATTTATTTTCTGTTAAAAATCACGCAGCTGTTTGCTTACTTCCTCGACCGCAAGGAAGGTATTCTGAAGTAAGTTTGCACAAAACTCAAAATCCTTTTGCATGCCTGTTCGTTTGTTGTAGGTCAATGGTCAACTATGGGAAAACTTATTCAAATCCTCTTTCATCCTCAAATTTTATACTATTGGAACACTCTTGAGTCCTCAGTTGAAAATCTCCGGATTAAAACATTGAGCAATCACTTTTGAAGGATAATAAGATTTTCTAATTGATGTGTGAATCAAATAATGGTCGTCACATCCTGGACTGCCATGAGGTTCATCAACTAGACTTCAATGTTTGTAAGAGAAGCAGTCAGATGCTTATCGATGTGACAACAACTGTTCAGTAATGCTTTGAGGAAAACGGAACGATACAGTTAGATGAAAGTTTCGAAAGGACTAGTCATGGGTAGCAGTCTATAAAAACATAAACCGAGGATACAGCAGTGATGATAACTCACTGGTCATCCGTATGAATTATTAATTGTTTTAGTTTTTGACTGAAGTAAACCGCAAGTCTAAAGAAGTTTTTGGGATTTTCATGCTTAGACTCGGAGATCTTATCTGTTTTTGTAGATCAAATTT